GAACCGCACTCATTCCTGATAAATCCTCAGAATGATTTATCAGAACGGAAGTCCACAATGAAAGGGAGCCCAGAGGAGGAACAGCCCTACTCCTGGGTTTAAGGTAGTCACAGAGGGCTTCCTGGAAGAAGCTGATGGCTTAGTTGCCTCTGAAGGAATAGGAACCAGCCTGGCGAAAGGGGATTAGCGCTTTCCAGGTCTAAGGGAGGTAGGAGCAATGCACCGAGGCTGAAAGAGCAGCATGTGGTCATTGGAAGTTTCCTTCGTCCAGAGCACCTGGAGTAGAAATGGAATGACAAGAGGCTGGGAAGTCACATGGGCCAGACCATGGAGGGCTTCCAGGCAAAGGAGCTTGACTTCCCCCTGAAGGCAGTGGTGGGGAGGGCCAGGTTCAGCTTCCATTTTCATGTTCACTGGGTGGCCTTAGGGTGGGGACATATGGAAGGGGGCAAGGCTAGCAGGGGTGGGAGGAGGCTGGCAGGACAGGGATGGAGAGAAGGGCACCCTGTGGGCTCCTCCAGTGTCCTGCTCTGACTGTCCTGGGGACCAGCCTGGCCGGCTCAGAGAAGCAGGGGACTAAGCAGGTGATAAGTCGCCCGCTGGAAGACAAAGGCTGGCCAAGAGTCCAGCTGTTCACAGCTGGTGGAAAGCTGGGACCCAGGCATCCCCAGTTCCCAGCAGCCTCCTGCATCCCAGACTGGGCTGCCACCCGCTAATGAAAGTGTTACTCCACAAAGCAGCAAGGTATGTGTTGTCACTGTTTCAATTATTTATCTGTTTACTCGGCTGCAGTTTTCCGCTTGTCTCAGCAACTCTATTATAGGCTGGGAGCTTGTGGCCTCTCGCCGCTCAGCTGGGCTCCGCGCTAACAGCCTGCAACGGGAGGCCTCATGCCTGGGCCTGGAGAAGTGGAATTAACTCCCTGCGGCTCTGTGTGGGGGTGGCGGGGGAGCACGGAGGTGGTGGCCAGGGGTGGGGTTCTTCCAAGGGGCTGGGATGGGGGATGCTGAAAGTGGTCTCCCAGGCAAAGGTAGGACTGGAACCTGGAGCTTCGCCTGCCTGGGAGGGCTGGCCCCAGGCACAGCTGGGCTCCTGTGGGCACATCCGCACCCAGGTTGACTTGCATCACACCCGTCTGTCCTCGGAGGCATTGCCACTGACGGAAGGGACACAGACTCCACGCAGGCTGACCAGCGTCTACCGGGTGCCAGCTGTGTGCCAGGCACGGGCCACAGTCATGCTGGTCACCCTCCCCAGACGGAGCTCAGAAAGATCAAGGCCTCTGTGGGCACCAGGGGTGCGTAGAGTGATGGACATGTGGCCTGGCGCTCTGGGACCCTGAGGGCGACCTCACAGTGCTGCCCTGCAGGCCCCACCCCTCCATTCCTCACCTCCCCCCATGGCTTGGTGCTTTCCCACTGCAGGGCTCCTTCTCCCAGCTCCTCACCTGCCTCTTACACAACCAGGACCCAGATTCCAGAACAAGGGATGGTGAGAGTGCAGGGGGACCGACCAGCTGGCGGCAGGTGCTGCCGCCTCGCTGTCCTGTGGAGGCTCCAGCACACGCGAAAGGAGAGGTACCTGCCCCAGTCACCTAGGTTTGATCCTGTGTCTGATGTCTTACCCCAGGAGGGCACCCGTGGGCGGACTGCAAAGAGCTTGGCACCGGGTCCAGGGCGGGATGAGGCCATAGGTGGCGTGGCCACCCTTGGGAGCAGGGCTCCTATCTCCCCACTGCTCAACATCTGAGCCTGGGGTGGGGCCACGGCTCTCCCGGGACTCCACATGGGGCACCTTCTCTTCCCTGCATCCCTCTTCCCATCTCCTCTACATTCACTCAGCCTTTTAGAGCCAAGGTACTCCAAACCAGGCCCCAGCTTTGGGATGACTCGGCACCCTGCCTCACAGGGGACATTATATGACATTGGCTGTCATAGTCTAGGGGCGGGTAGGGACGGTTAGGTGCTGGCATCTAGCCGACAGGGTCAGGATCTGCTGACTATCCTACACTGCACAAGACAGCCCCCCAAAGAATGACCCAGCCCAGATGTTGACAGTGCCATGGTTGAGAAACCCGCTTTAAAAAAACTTCATTTCTTGGGATCAGCAGTTAGTGTAATGGCTATGTCGCTGGACTCCCATGTAGTCGACTGCGGTTCGCGTCCCAGACCCGGTGGCTTAAACTCACTCTGGGCGCGTGTGCGTGCGTGCCCAAGATCCTAAGAGGAGAATGGAGGAGAAGGGATTGCGGCGTGGCCATCCACCCTGGGGGGGGGTGATTTCTCGCTTTCTGTCTCTCCATCTCTCTCTGTCTGGAGAGCACACGCGCCCTATAGCAAAAACCTCTCCAACAAAACAAAACAAACTTCATTTCTTTATTTCTTTAGCGAGAAAGATCTCCAGAAGGGCTAGTCTCAGCCAGCCCAGACGGAAGGCACACGCTTGCATGCCTGGCATAGGAGTCCCAAGGGCCTTTCCCATGTGGGCCCCGGTGTGTGACTGCTGCACCCCTGCCTGGCTCCAGAGACCTGCTTTAAGCCCTCCTCGCCACATGGCTCTCTCTCCTGCCCCTTGAGAAGCAGGCAGAATGGATGGTAATCTTCCCATTTTGCAGATGAGAAAACCGAAGTTTGGGGAGGCAATTGATTCCACTTGCCTGAGGTCCACGCCCCAGGTTCCTGCAGGCTCCCAGCTGGAGTTTCCTGTCCCGGCAGGCAGGTGCAGAAAGCAGCAGGTGGCTCCATGCCTCTCAGCCTCCCCTGGGCCCCGGGATGGCTCGCTGCCAGGGGGACAGGACAGGGCCCAGGAGCGGGGCAATCTCCTCCTGAGCCCGACAGGCGGAGGCGTCCTGCCCGTTTACCAGGCAGCCTCCCAGGCCTCACCTTCTTTCAGGTGCTGCCGTTTTATCTCCTCCTAAAATGCGGCAGCCCTTATCGGCCCAATCTCAAATTTCACTCCATTTTTTTTATTACACAAAGGAGAAAAAATCTGTCAGTAAAACTGTCTCCTCAAATTTATTCTCTGGGACTGAGGGTTTTATTACTAGGAAAATACACCCACACCCCACACGTACACACACGTACCCACACACCCCAGATAAAGCGTGGCGGAATGATCCGAGTCGTAAATCGCTGTCTCAGGCTGAGGGACGGGGGAGTTTCAAGGACGAGCCTAGTTTTCCTTCTGTGTTATTTACATCTTTCTGCGGGGCGGTGTCTGGGGTCTCACTGTCAGGCTGAGGGGTAAATCACGGCTTCTGTTCCCCGGCCTCAGGCAGCGGAGACAGCCGCTTATCTCAGATCCAGTACATTAGATGACATTGGCTGTCATAGTCTAGGGGCGGGTAGGGACGGTTAGGTGCTGGCATCTAGCCGACAGGGTCAGGATCTGCTGACTATCCTACACTGCACAAGACAGCCCCCCAAAGAATGACCCAGCCCAGATGTTGACAGTGCCATGGTTGAGAAACCCGCTTTAAAAAAACTTCATTTCTTGGGATCAGCAGTTAGTGTAATGGCTATGTCGCTGGACTCCCATGTAGTCGACTGCGGTTCGCGTCCCAGACCCGGTGGCTTAAACTCACTCTGGGCGCGTGTGCGTGCGTGCCCAAGATCCTAAGAGGAGAATGGAGGAGAAGGGATTGCGGCGTGGCCATCCACCCTGGGGGGGGGTGATTTCTCGCTTTCTGTCTCTCCATCTCTCTCTGTCTGGAGAGCACACGCGCCCTATAGCAAAAACCTCTCCAACAAAACAAAACAAACTTCATTTCTTTATTTCTTTAGCGAGAAAGATCTCCAGAAGGGCTAGTCTCAGCCAGCCCAGACGGAAGGCACACGCTTGCATGCCTGGCATAGGAGTCCCAAGGGCCTTTCCCATGTGGGCCCCGGTGTGTGACTGCTGCACCCCTGCCTGGCTCCAGAGACCTGCTTTAAGCCCTCCTCGCCACATGGCTCTCTCTCCTGCCCCTTGAGAAGCAG